TGCTTCCAGTTTTGGGCTCCACAATTCAAAAAGGATGTGGAGAAGCTTGAGAGAGTCCAGAGAAGAGCCACGCGCATGATCAGAGGTCAGGGAAGCAGACCCTACGATGACAGGCTGAGAGCCCTGGGGCTCTTTAGCCTGAAAAAGCGCAGGCTCAGGGGTGATCTGATGGCCACCTACAAGTTTATCGGGGTGACCACCAGCATCTGGGGGAACGTTTGTTCACCAGAGCGCCCCAAGGGATGACGAGGTCGAATGGTCACAAACTACTTCAAGATCGTTTCAGGCTGGACATAAGGAAGAATTTCTTTGCTGTCCGAGCCCCCAAGGTCTGGAACAGCCTGCCACCAGAGGTGGTTCAAGCGCCTACATTGAACACCTTCAAGAGCGAACTGGATGCTTATCTTGCTGGGATCCTATGACCCCAGCTGACTTCCTGCCCTTTGGGCGGGGGGCTGGACTCGATGATCTTCCGAGGTCCCTTCCAGCCCTAATGTCTATGAAATCTATGAAATCTATGAAATTTCCACCCCCTGGGTGATCTGCCCACCGTCGCAGACTGTCCTTTCCTGTGGCATCTCTTGCGTTCAACGTTTGCTGCTGGATGTCAGTATTGCCAATGCTCAAGCCTTTTGGCATTGTTCTTAAAGTCTATACTTTGGGAATGTGAAAAACTTAGCTCTTCGTTTTTGTAGCAGGCGCACCTTTCAGAGCTGGGGTTGAGGCCCAGGCTTGAGATCCTGCTGTTTTGATTGGTGGAGCCCATCCACCAATCAGGAGGCATAAGGGAAATAAAGTCGCCCCTTTCCTAAGGGGGGGGGGGGAGGAGCTCCTCCGGACCTGATTGAAGACTGCAACATTCAGGTTCGGCAGACTTGAGGGGGCGGAGCCCTGGAGCATATAAAAGGAGCTGCATGCCCAGCACAAGGGCAGATGGTTGGGGTCGGAGAAGAGTGGGGATTAGAAGAGCTGCTCAGCAGGGCGAAGCAGTAGCCCAGGAAGAGCCCCTGAAGACTTCCATCAGCAGGGAGCAGGGCATGGCTCCAGTGGTTAAGTTCTTGGTGCACGGCATCCAGACCCTGGGAGCTTCGTGAGACAGCTCCGGTCTGCAACCTCTGGTGTGTGGCCAGAGACATGGTGCACAGGCCAGTGCACAGAGCAGGATCTTTGGAGCCCCTGGGGTGGCTCAGGTCCACAACCCCCAGCACGAGGCTGGGAGCTCAGAGCAGGAGGCGCTGCACGGAGGGGGAGAGACCCTGGGAGCTGCTCGAGGTGGCTCGGGTCTACAGCTGCTGGCACGGGGCAGCAGCTCAGTGCAGACGACGCTGCCCAGAGGGTCTGGGAGCAGACCAAGCCCCAGTGCTGCACAAGGCTGCCCAGGCCTCCAACCCCTAGCACAAGGCGAAGCGCCCACTACACGCAGCGGTGCATGTGGCCCTAAGCCAGGCCAGAGTCGGGTGGCAGGAAACCCCGGTGGGGAACAGAGCTCGACCTGGAGAACAGGAGGCAACCCTTTAATGGTTTTGTTGTAATAATAAATGTCTATATAGTTAAGTGATTGATTGACTGGGCTGGACTCTATAGGGGACGGAGTTGGCCGCTGGGCTGTTGTGTCCCTCCGCAGCACGCTGCCCTCCAGTAATTCCCTCAGCTGGAGAGGGGAGTACAAACCTGTGTACACCCGGGCTACATTTTGTATATATAATTACACTGGGATGTTGTAGTCTGCGATGGGTTAGTGCTCTCCCACAGCTGCCACAACTTTCTGTCCCTTCAATGTTAAAATGTCTTGAACCCTTATGCCTTGTTGTTGCTCCTTTTTACTGTTTTATCTTACATGTGAAGGTCCCACCTCCTCTTAGATCTCGTCCCTTTCCCTTTCATCAAATATTGTCTGATAAAGGTTAATACGCATGCTGCTCGCCTGCAAGTCACACTGCCGTTTCTTCACTGTTTCTTGCGTTTTTTGACCTTGGTTAAGGCTTTTTCTCATGTGAGCTCTGGATCTCGCTGCAGTTGTGCCCATAAACTGGTGTGTCCGAGGCCTACGAGCATCCACCCTGTCTCTTAGCCGTTCTCCTCCGTAACTGCCGGGCCCAGCAAGAGCGTGACCTGCAGCATTTAAAGATTCAGCTCCTACCCCTGGCTCCTGCCGCCTCAAGTGAAAGTTGGCCCTTTGATATATAACGTCCTGTTTACC